GCTTTTTTTTTTTTTTTTTTCAACAGGGGGAGGTGCGCAGACTGAAAGAGTTTTTTTGTTGTTGTTTTTTTCTGATTGTCTGAGGACTTTTTCTTCTTGGCCCTAAACCACAAGTTATCTAGACATAGCTAAGATAATGGATCCATGCATATTCAAGACGCGACGTGTTTCATGAAATCTGTTAAAGGCATTGTGATCTATCTCAAACTGTTGAAGAAAATGATTCACGCGCTCGTTTTGTACTTTTTATATTTCGTTCCTCTGATCGGTGAGTAATAAATATTTTACGTCTCTGCAGGGTTGCTCTTTTCACCATTTAGAATATTGACATATTTACGTCTTGCGTCGTGCATCTCTATGAGTGTTTGGTGTCGAGACAGATGAGATGTCAGCGATGGAGGGAGATTCCTTCACTCTCCGTACTGGTCTTACAGAAATACAGAGAGATGATGAGCTCGAGTGGAGGTTTGGATCGAGCAGAGCTCGTTTAACCAGAATAGCGGCGGGAAACATTACTACATACAATGACGAGACATTTAGAGACAGACTGCAGCTCGAAAGACAGACTGGAGATCTCACCGTCACAAACATCACTAATGAACACACTGGCGTTTATCAACTGAGCATCGTTATCAGGAATAAGAAGTCAACCAAGCGATTCGCTGTCAATGTTTATGGTGAGATGAAGTTGTAGGTGTTGTAAACAATAGAAAATCTTTCTAGTTTTGTTTATGTTTCCCCTTTGTTTCCCAGCTCCTGTGCCTATTCCTGTAATCTTCAGTGATGCTTCACGATGTGCTTTATCGGCTGAAAGTTCATCGAGGATCTTCCTGTGTTCAGTGGTGAATGTGAGTGATGTGACTCTCTCCTGGTACAAAGGAAACCGTTTATTGTCCAGCATCGGTGTGTCTGATCTCAGCATCAGTCTCTCTCTACCTCTGGAGGTGGAATATCAGGATAAAAACACCTACAGCTGTGTAGTGAACAATCCTGTCAGCACCCAGACCACACATCTGGACATCGATCAACTCTGTCAAATACATTCAGGTAGTCTAAATCCAGTTTTGTGCATTTTTGTGAAAGAGTTTTTATAATGCATTTTCTTCAGTGCTTGATTTAGTGCCTAGAAAGCATCCACTCTTGCTTTTCACTCTGACTTCTTACAGTAGTCTCAGTTTTGTCAGTTACTTTGGCTTTATTGTGTATTTGCACACAAATCAAACACTGCATGGACTGACTAATTAACTGAATTTGGAAGCAAACAATTGGGTTTGGGGGAATAATCAGTATTTATGAAGGCCACTTCTAATGGTAAGACATGTAAACATCCTCTTTCAAACTTACAATCCATCCACAATGGTAGCACTCCACTCTCGCTGTTCAATCTGACTTTATATAATAGTCTTAGTTTTATCAGTTCATTTGGCTTGTGTATTTGCACACAAATCAAACACTGCATGAACTGAACTAATGAACTGATGCAAACAATTGAGTTTTAGAGGAATAGTCAGTATTTATGCAATTATTAATGGCACAGAACAGAAGAGACACGATGCACCTATAAGACCAATCACAAATCCCCATGCGAACAGCCTAAAGATTAAACAAATAAGAACCATTTCAATCAACATTGTAAAGACAGAAATGTATAAATCATTTTAGATTACTCATCATATAGTTTCCTTAATTGTTCATATTTTATTGAACGAAAAACATTATAGAAGTGAATAACTAAATGGAATAACGAATTTCACAAGCTCATTAGAAAATGAAAGCTTTTTAATTTTTTTTTTTTATGTTCAATCACACAGTGCATATACATTTAAAGGCTGAATGAATACTAGCTTTTGTTAATTACAGTGCAGAAATGATCAGACAGTGGAACAGCTGTATATCTGTATACATTCAGCTCATATTATTTCAGATTCACAACAAAAAGGGTCAGATTTAATTCACAAAACAAAATGCAAAGCAGTAATATATATATTATATATATATGGGGGGGGGGAATAAATCTTTTTCGGATGTATGCATCAATACATTGCCCATACCACGCATCAAAGCAGTCAATACAGCGCAGTCAAGAATAACTTAAAGAGGTTGCCTGCGTTAACTAAAGTGTGGAGCTTTGACTGGTTGCTGATTTGAATGATGATGGTTCTCGTTTTAAGTGGCCTTTCATTTTTAACCAGAAATGTACGCTTTTCTGATGTTTAAGTTTTCCGTGTCACGTTTTTTTTTTTGTCTTTTTCCCGTGTCACTTGAAATGTGTCCGTTTTGAATCGTTGTCTTCTAAAGGTGAGACGAGAGGGGAAATAAACAATCAGTTGTGGGACTAGTCTGTCATAAATTGCATTCCATTCATTTCTGAACTTTCTACCGTCCGTTACTGGAAATGAAATGGTTGAGATGTCCCAATCTCAATAAAGTTTACACGCTTTCAGTCCGTGAACTGAATCTCGCTCACGTGCGCTGTCTGTGGAAAATTGGCCAGGACCGGTTCCAGAAGAAATCACTGAGGCATTTTTGTCCCGTCCATTGTTTTGGTTATCAGTGTCAATCTCTGATATTTATAGAATGAATCCAGCATAAATGTTGATGCAATTCCCGAAACGTTGCAGCATGTATGAGTCCGAAAAACGAAAGTTTCATACAAATTCAGAATGGATTATAGCCTAGAAAGCACGCAAAGCGCACTCCCATTATTATCACTAAAAGCATGACTCATCTTAGTTCATTAAGATTTCACAAAGTTCCGTTATAATCAATGAAACTCTCTAAACTACACAATGAACCTATTATTTAGGCTACATCACGTCTGCACTTATGAGATGATTCACAAGCGTGCAAAACTCCGGTGCTTTCAACGTTAAGTGAATTCTGAATACTCTTAACGTTTCTGATTGGCCACTGCGTTGAAGAGATCAACAGATATGTCTGTGATTGGCTACATTGCTCAATGCCGCAAAAACACATTGGACAGTTCGCCAGATCTTTAATTGCTTTTGCTTTCATTTGAGGGTATTTAGCGCCGTCTAGTACCACCGTACATCCGGGCCTGGGCTTGGCTAACTGCTCCAATTGCAGCGGGACTGACATTTGCGGGACAATTATCTGTTTATAGCAAATACAGCTCATGTTCATTTACACAGCTTAACTATGTTTATATTGTTACTGTGGTTATGTATGTACTGTAATGGATGGATTCATGCTGATCCTGAGGTTGATTTAATTGATCTTCACTGAAACCTGTTATAAAAATACAGAAAGAGACACAGCAACAAAAATATAGTTTTAATTTTGCAGTATGCAGGCCTTGCATGCATTCACACACATAAAGAAAACACATTCTTTCAACAGTGAAAAAACTCACAGGTACAGCATAAAAACTGAACTGATCAATATCTTACCCCACTGGAGTTCCTTGCTTAGATAATTTTGTGATCTGGAAGCAAACAGATTTAAATCTATTGTAAATCCTGAACTTCACTAAGACAGGCAGAAAGATATGTAATTACTGAAAACACAACAATAGCATTTGTTTTCTTTTAGCAGTATTGCTCTTTTTGGAGTCAGAGCTATCTTGATAGCTAAACTTATTTTTCATTAAACTTTTAAGCTTCCTTCAAGGTTAGTTGTAAAACCTTC